CGCCCCACAGTTCTTCAGCTGACAAACCTGAGTTAGAAAACACAAAACACTGCAGTTGTCTTTTACTCGCGAGGGCAGTCCCAGAGCACTCGTACTCGCAAGAGGCACTCATGGACTCGCACTCTGTCACTCTCTGCGTTCTTTATTTATACAAGCTTGTGTGTGTACAAAGGTAACAAAGTTATTCCGGGAACTCAGAGCTGAGGTTCCTCTTTTCTAAGTCTGCATGTTCTCAGAAAACAGGAAGCAGTTAGTTGCTAAATAAGTTTATCACACAAGAGATTAAGTGAAAAGTCACGTAGACATGTGGATTGCTTAGTGATCAATAAAAAACACATTTCATGTAGCTGATCACACTATGTACAATTTTCCTTTGACAACTTTATTCTCAAGAATTTAGCTTTACCACTACTGAGCCAATTTAATAGTTAAGATCATCAACTCAGCAAACAGATAATTTAGAATTCATCCAATGCACAAATTTGCTTTTTCTCTGAACAGGTTTGTGCCTACCTTTAAATTTTTTTAAACCAGTCTCCTGTTCGCATCATATCAGATCCAACCTTCGGCCACATTTGTTCTCTCTGTTGCAAAGGGAACCGGGCGGAAACACCAAATATTAAAACCCGATTCTTTGATCCCCATGATAGAACTAAGAAAACCCGACTCAGAGTGGTCAAAACATTTATATATTTATTCCATCATCATCCGGAAGAGGGAGCCCTGCACACCCCAAAGGCAGTTGCAGAAACTAACATTTTAATCATAAACTGTGTCTCATATAGGTGTTATTTTGGTACTTTACACTTCACACATAGTTTCATGTTACTAGTTCCTCTTTTTGTCTGGGTTCCTGTTTTTATTTATATGCTTGTATAGCTCTACACCAACTTCCTGTTTTCAGTCTGGCTGAGCCCTTAGTTTATCAGTCAAAAGTGGCCTTGCTTTACAAGCTTTTATTACTAACATACATAAAACAATATAATAAGAAAATAAGCACTAAGAATATATTAATTACATGACATCATCTTAATGTCCACTGAGCTGTGAGCCGGGGGGCGGTAATGCGCCTTAACATTGGTTGCCAAGAAGAAGAAGAAGCTGTGAGCCAGAAGGGAGGGGGTGAGTGAGTGAGTGATTTGTTCGTGCTATGATTCACCACAGGAAGGGAGGGGATGAGTAGCTCAAATGTGCTGTTAGCATGTTAGCAGAGCGATACTGGATGTTGTGCTTTTCTCCACAATTTTAATTATAAGCTAGATATATTTCTACTAATGAAATTAGTTTGCTAACAGCAACAGGGATGAGTCAGTTGGGCTTGTGAATCATGATTCATGAGTCAGTAAAGTGATTCTCGAGTATTGACCCTGTGCACGAGAAAATGCTAACTTCCTGGTTTGAGACCGGATGTGGGGTTGTACATTTCCGGTAGCTTTACTTTGCGGTCAATCGCTACTGCAAAGATATTCTCCAAAATCATGTCCAAAACTCGAAAACGGAAAGATCGCGTTAAGT